TGGATAGGACACTGGATTCGACTCATTGCGAAGACATATATGACAATATTTCAAATATGTTTTAAACGCTTGTCTTCCAGAAGGGATCCAATATGATATCCCGATTAAGGCCAAAGTTTCTGCCATACCCCCATGAAGAGTGGTTTTATATGCTCCATAAAATATTAGTTTTGTATAACGATTTTGTTTGGGTAAAAGGACAGGGTAACGGATTAGAAGAGACACGTCTGCCTTAGCTATCCTTCCTCGACAAAAGATCATACCGTCCAAATGAAGATATAGTCCTAGATCCATTATTAATTTATTGTTCTTGGACCCTTCCTTGGACAGCAGTTTTCTTGTTTCCTTGTGGTTATCAGCATATATATATATATATATATATATATATATATATATATATATATATATATATATATATATATATATATATATATATATATATATATATATATATTAGTTAAGGAGCTCTGGTATAATTAAGGGTGAACAAGACCATAAGACGAAATAAGTAAGAACTTAAAGATTTATTGTGACAGATGAGCATATAGGTTTAGACAAGCAGGTCTTGTAGATAGACAAGCAGATGAACAGCTCTTGGAGAAAGGTGGATGAAACATCAACCATGGGGAATTTCTAAATTAAGTTGGGAGAATCAGGAAGTGAATGACGCTCCTGAGGGGGTGCATGGCTCTGTGGTGACGTCACCCTTCGAATCTAATTGAAGAGTGGTTGATAATATTACATCATGCGATAGCTGAAGAGAAGGGGGGGGTAGGCGACAGCTACTTGGCTGGTGCCTGGGTGTCGCTCCCAAGCATTGCGCCCACGTGTCTCGGGGTATTTCCATGGCTATTGTCTCAATATGCGACAGGTACCTGGATCGTACCTTTTCTAATAAGGACAGAAATAGGAGAATGAGAGTGTTTGTCAGGAGCAAAGATGGGTGACTTAGACAGGATGGACTATATGATGATGAGGATGATAATGAAGTAAAGTGGCAAATTACTTTGCCCTGGGAGAGGAGAGGAGAGAGAGAGAAGGAAAGCATAGAAATGGGAAGTAAAGCAGTAGGGGGGAACAAACCCATTATCTGCCTCAGTGCAGGAGGCAATGATAGTGGCCGGTGTAGGAGCGAGGAGCTTCTTGATAAGTTCAAGGCAGCTTTGGATCGTATTAGGACTAAGGGAGGGATCCCTATCACATGCGGTGTCCTGCCTAGAAGGAGCGTTGGCAGTGAATGGTTGTCAAGGGCAGTTGGTGTCAACGGAGGTCTTGACAGATATTGCAAGTCAATATCAGTCCCATTAATTGACAACTGGGACAACTTCTACGGCAGAAGGGACCTATATGCTAGGGATGGGGTGGCAACCCTGGCGGGGTCTCTAGAGGGGGCAGTTCAAAAGATATCGAAGTCTTTAAACTACTAGGGGAACATATGGGCACGGGGGTGGAGGAGACTGCAGTGGGAGCGGGTAAACAAAGTGAAAGGTTACAGGGAAATAGTATTAGGAATGATGACAAAACTAAATTAGACAGGGAGTTAAGACCTAAACGCAGTAAAGGGAGGACTCAGTACACGACTAACCTAAATGTTTACTACGCGAACAGTAGAAGTATGAGAAACAAAATGGATCATATTAGGGCCTTGGTATGTACCGAAAAAATGTATATAATAGCATTCACTGAAACATGGATCAACCTAGACTCATGTGAGTTACCTGTCGAATACCAAATTGCAGGTTACAAATTGTTCCATACCGACACGCAGACCAGGAAAGGAGGCGGAGTGGCAATCTATGTCAGGGATAATCTGAAGTGAGAAATAAACAAGGATATAAAAACTGAGCGGAATACGGAAACTATTTGGATAGAATTAATTGACGGTAGGGAAAAATTAATCACAGGAGTAATATATAGACCCCCCAATCTTGATAGAGTTAATGGGCGACTTATCTGGGATGAAATGCGCAGGGCTTCCATACACAACAAAGTCTGTATAGTAGGTGGCTTTAACCTTGGCCAAATAGATTGGACTGACCTTACGGGTAACTCAGAATCAGAGGATTTTCTCGAAACGTTCCAGGACTGTTTCCTAAGTCAACAATTAACCGAACCCACCCAGGGTAATAATATACTCGATTTAGTTCTGTCGAAAAGAGAAAACCTCATTAGCAATTTCGAGGTAGGGAACGCACTTGCAAACAGCGATCACAAAGAAATTAGATTCCAGTTAGATTTTCAGGGCAGACGAAAGGAAAATTCCACTAAGGTCCCAGATTTCAGAAGGGCAAACTTTGATTGTTTGAAGAGGCAGTTGAGGGAAGGGGTATCACGCCTGGGAGTGACTCACATCGACCTCACCCCACCCACGAACCTGACGGTTGACACTGACCTGATAACGAGGTCTGTGATTGCCGAGTTCCACGACAATTTAAATAATGAGTTACTTAATGCACAAAGGCAGAACATACCATACAAAAAACTCAGATCAGACAACAACGACCCTAAATGGATAAATAATTATTTAAAGAACATTATTGGCCAAAGGAAGGCTATAGGTAGAAGGATAAATCGTGGTGAAATTTACCTCCGGGATTATTATATGGTATTGGCCGGTAGGGTTAAGACCGAGATAAGGAGAGCAAAGAAGAATAATGAACTGAAGATAGCAAGGGAGGTGAAGACAAACCCCAAAGGATTCTACCAAATGTATCAAACTAAAACACGAGATAAGATAACGATGGAGAAATGAGTAATAATCTGAATAAATATTTTTAAACAGTTTTCACCACCGAAAATTTAAGCATGATACCCGAGGCACCGACTCTATTCAGAGATAGTGAAGAAAACAAATTAAGCGAGATAGTAGTGACTAGTAACGATGTTAGTAAGCAAATAGACAAACTAAAGCCTAATAAGTCACCTGGCCCCGATGAGATATTTGTCAGAGTATTAAAGGAATGTAAGGAAGAGCTTAGTATGCCCTTAGCAAAGTTGTTTAACATGTCCTTAAAAGCAGGTGTAGTACCAGAATCCTGGAGGATAGTGAATGCAATACCGATTTTCAAGAAGGGGGATAGATCACTATCCTCTAACTACCGCCCAATCAGTCTAACATCAATAGTAGGCAGATTACTGGAAGCAATCATTTCCAACTCTATTCGAAATCACCTGGAGAAACACCAATTGATCAATGATTCCCAGCATGGCTTCACAAGCGGGCGTTCATGTCTAACTAATCTATTAACATTATTTTCATCAGGTTTCAAATCGGTGGTCGAGGGGCACAATTATAATGTGGTATATCTCGACTTTAGCAAAGCCTTCGACACAGTCCCCCACGAAAGACTAATTTGAAAGATAGAAGCACATGGCATCAAAGGTAATATCCTTAAATGGATTAGGGCGTGGTTACAGGACAGGAAACAGCGAGTGAGCATTAACTGCACTAAATCCCATTGGAGCAACTTCACTAGCGGAGTTTCCCAAGGCTCAGTACTTGGACCATTATTATTTATTATATACATAAACGACATAGATATCGGCATAGACAGCAATATAAGTAAATTTGCTGATGACAATAAAATAGGACGTGTTACTAAATCTGACTACAGGAAGATCTAAACAAATTTTTCGACTAGTCTGAAAAATGGCAGATGAAATTCAACGTGGACAAATGTAAAGTACTCAGTATAGGAGATGTAAATAGGGAAACCAGTTACCAGATGAACAACGATGCCATTGAGAAATCCGACTGTGAGAGAGATTTAGGAGTAATGATAAGTAGGAACCTTAAGCCAAGTAAACAATGTGTATTTGCTCGAAACAAGGCTAATAAAGTACTTAGGTTCACACAAAGGAGTGTTAGTTGCAAGACTAGCGAGGTCATCCTAAAACTATATCTTGCGCTTGTGAGACCTCACTTGGATTATGCAGTTCAATTCTGGTCACCGTATTACAGAATGGATATAGAATCCTTGGAAAAAAATACAGAGGAGAATGACAAGGCTAATCCCGGGCATTAGGAACCTTGAGTACAGAGACAGGTTAAAGCATCTTAATTTGCACTCCCTTGAGAGACGTAGAGTGAGAGGCGATATGATAGAGGTGTATAAATGGAAGTCAGGGCTAAACAAAGGGGACATTACAAAGGTACTCATGCTATTCAACCAGGAGCGAACTCGTAACAATGGTTTCAAATTAGACAAATTTATATTTAGGCTCGAAATAGGTAAACACTGGTTTGGTAACAGAGTAGTGGATGAATGGAACAAGTTACCAAATATCATCATTAACTCGAATACGCTGGATAGCTTCAAACATAGGTTGGATGCTTATATGAGCAATAGGGGTTGGGTGTAAATGTGACTGCCCAGTATGGGCCAATAGGCCCGCTGCAGTTTCCTCCATTCTTATGTTCTTATGTTCTTATGATAGCAGGTGGGCTGTCCACCTAGCTGAGACGAGTTGATTGGTTGGGGTGGTGGCCACACACAGCAGACGCCTGCTCGCTCAAGGGAGGCAGGTGGTGGAGGGGGGGGAGCTAAGCTAGCAAGGCATTCATTAGTGTAATGGGTGTTAATTTATCATGCAACCTTTATATACTAGTTGGCCACTTAATTGTGCAAGTAATCAACAATCGGCCGCAGGTGAACTAAGTCAACGTAAGTCATCGAGCGACAATATGGAAACAAGAACGGAATCTAGCTGCTTGTAGCCACGTATTAATCAGATTGATTAAAAAAATATGCAGAACAAAACTTGATAATTCCCGCAGAAAGTAAAAGATAAATCTAGGCCAATGAAATATCAATTTTCGAACATATCGGCCAATCAAAATCTGGGCCTCGTTTCCCGATTATTTCCTTAATTTCCCTGCCTTTTATTTTCACCCAGAAAATAAAGAATAACAACAATCTCACCGACCACACAGCCCGAAATTTAGACGTCACTCAGCCGGTCGCATACGCACTTCTTTCCGGCTGCATGCGACCGGAAAAATGGGAGTGAAGGACCACTGGACTATATTATGTCCGGTAATGAGAAGAAACCCATTTTCTGCCTCAGTGCAGGAGTGCAATGATATTGGCCAGTGTTGGAGTGAAGAGCGCCTTGATAAGTTGAAGACAGCTATTGACCATATTTGGATGAAGGGAGGTATCCTTATCATGTGTGGTGCCAGCCTAGAAAGAAAGTTGGCAGTGAATGGTTGTCAAGGGCAGTTGTTATCAACAGCTGTCTTGATAGATATTGCAAGCCAATATCAGTCCCATTTATTGACAACTGGGACTAATTTTACCGCAGAAATGACCTATATGCAAGGGATATGGTAGATTTACCTATGGATGGGGTGGCAACCCTGGTTAGCTCTGTCGAGAGTAAAGTTGAAAAGACGTCAAAGTCCTTCAACTGCTTAGGGAACATGAGAGTACGGAGGTCGAGGAGACTGCAATGGGCGTGGGGTTACCTAGAAATTGTATTAGGAATGATGATAAAGCTTAATTAGTCAGAGAGTTAAAACCTAAATGCTACAGAGAGAGGACTCAGAAGTATAAGAAATAAAATGTATGAAATCAGAGCTCTGGTATGAACTAAAAAAAATCATTATAATAGCATTCACTGAAACCTGGATTAACTTAGACACACGGGAGCTACCTTTCGAATACCAGATTAAAGGATATAAATTATTTCATACTGATAGGCAGATTAGGAAAGGACGCAGGGTGGTAATCTTCTCGTATGTCAGGGATAATGTGAAGTGTGAAATCAATAAGGAAATTAAATCTGAATTGAATACAGAAACAACATGGATAGAATTAACCGTTGGTTGGGATAAATTGATCATAGGAGTAATATATCGACTTTCTAATCTTGATAAGGTTGAAGGGCAAGTTATTTTCGAAGAAATTGTAGGGCAACCAGACATAACAAAATATGTATAGTAGGCAACTTTAACTTTAGTCAAATAGATTGGATCGACCTTACGGGTAACTCAGAATCAGATGATCCTCTTGAAACGGTTCAGGACGGTTTCTTAGTCAACATATAGCCGATTATATATAGATTTAGTTCTGTCAAACAGAGAAAACTTCATTAGTAATGTCGAGGTAGAGAACGAACTAGCTAACAACGATTACAAAGAAGTGAGATTCAAAGTAGAACTTAATGTCAGTCGCAAGGAAAATTCCATTAAACTCCCAGATTTCAGAAGGGCAAACTTTGATAGGTTGAAAAGGCAACTGAGAGAAGGGGTATTATGTTTGGGGGTGAATAACATGACCTCACGATAGGTAGCCTCACACAGTCACACAATGTACCCACAGAGGGCGACCTCTCTTTACCTGATGACCTGACAACAATATCCTCACAAAATATAGCTGTTGAAGGTGACCTTACCACGAGGTCTGTGGTTGACGGATTCCATAACATTTTAAATAGTGAGTTACTTAATGCACAACGGTAGAATATATCATACAGACTACTCAGATCAAATAATAATGACTCAAAATGGATAAAGAATTATTTAAAGAATATTATTGGACAAAGGTAGGAGAATAAATCATGGTGAAGTTAACCTCCGAGATTATTGTAAAATATTGGCCAGTCGGGTTAAGACTGAGATAAGAAAAGCAATGAGGAATAATGAAATGAAGGTAGCAAGGGAGAGGCGAAGTCAAACCCCAAATGTATGCTGACCTCTGTAGAGGAAAGGTCACAGCCGTTTTAGCTCCCAGGATAAACTGTCAGTTGGGCGCCGATGGTAGAACGGTACCGCTCTTGCCTTGCAAGCAAGATGTCACGGGTTCGATTCCCGGGTCGGTGGAAAAGTTGTTTGGACATACTTCCTAGCCCACATTGGGCCCTGTTCACCTAGCAGTAATGCAGGTACCTGTTGTAAATCGAAAGTTGCGAATTCGTATTCAGGAAAAGTTGTTGGAGCTTCCAATAACTTGATGACATAAAACCATTGACTCTTCAGGCTTCTACGCCCTTAACTCATGAGACATAAAGGCAAGCATGAATTTAGCATGCTTCCCTGTTGGGCGCTGTAAACGCTTCTGCTATTCACCTTACACAAGGATGTAGGGGAGTGCCCAATAAAAAAAAAAAAAAAACTGTCAGTGCAATGGCGAGTGTTAGTTGTGAACAACTCTATGCCCTTCTGAGGGCTGAGTTAGTAAAGGTCGATGGCGTATACTTGAAATTAAAGGAAGGGACTGCAAGGATGATGGAGGAAGACTCGAGACTGGGAGTCTGACGAAAACACAGGCCAATGGAGGGTTGTGAGGAGAGGAACGACCAAACTGGTAGTGAAGACAAACAAGGAAACGAATACAGTTAAGTGTACTAACTTTTTTAGTCTGTTTGCTAGACGGATTGGATGGGAACATAGTCAAGGACAGGGCTGGCAAGGAAGGCATGAAAACCTTAATTGTTGGTTATTCCCAGGTATGGTACCTGGATAGAGCTTTTTGTGTCAAAAATAGAAATTGGATGTGAGTGTCTTTGCCAAGAGCTGAGATGGGGGATAGAGTTGACAGGATGGACAATATCTTGTTCAGGAGGCAATGATATTGGCTGGTGAGGAGCTCCTTGATAAGTTCAAGGTAGATGAGAGAAGGGGTATTACGTTTGGGGGTGAAATACATGACTTCACGTAAGGTGACCTCACACAATGTACCCACAAAGGGCGACCTCACTTTAAGAACATAAGAACATAAGAAAATAAGGAGTCTGCAATAGGCCGGCTGGCCTGTGCATGGCAGCTCCTGTCGAGAGTTACTACCACTCTCTATCATCCATGAATCTATCTAGCCTCCTTTTGAAACTTTCCAGAGTTCCTGCACTTACT